TCTTGACATAGTCCTAACTGAATTCCACACACATGCATAACTTAATCAGAATGAAACCCCACTGGAGTACTAAAGCACAGAATAGTACATAGTACATAATACAGAACAGGACCTGAAATTTGAGATCTGATGATGATGGCTTCACTGATTTTTCTTTGCATAAATTGTAAGCATAAGTCCTCCAAAGGGATTGCCCATCCTCTTGGACAGTTTCTTCAGAGAGTATGATACTGCTTGATATTGGGGACTGTCAATATAAGCAGTGTGAAAGTAGTAAGCTTCTTGCAGGCAAGTTGCTAATCCCAGTTGATGAACCTCTTCATTTTAACCCACAAACAATTTGCTTAAGAGGTTTATAAATGCAGGTATCATGACATCATGTTGCAGGAATCAAGTGGCTGAGGCCACCTTGCCAAGATTTTGACTGCTTGACGCAAGGGCCTCTCATATTTTCAGACTGATATAGATGGTGAGGGTAAAGGGAGGCTGCCAAGGGGTATGAAGTGGTGTGTATAGAATGACCTTAAATTGGAGCTGGGCAAATGCTCAGGGAGTGCATCAGATTTCTTTCTTATGATTATCCATAAGGAAATTATGCCCTGCTTTATGTCAGAACTTCCTTCAAAACTAATTAATATGCTGTGCAGACACTTATGCTTTCTGGTAGTTCTTCACTTCTTGAATAACCCAAAGTTCCTGGTGAAGAAGAGTCCACAGGAAAAGACTCTTGATCATGCAGCATATTCACTTACTGAGAAGGCTGCCATAAAATGGCATTAGAGACAATGAAGTCTGAACTGCTGCAGCTAAAACTGCAGCATTCTTTGTTTCCAGAGAAGCTGCTTTGTGAGTAGACCAAGCCATGTCTCATTGTTCCAATAGCTGCTCATTAAAAGTTCATAGGGAACTGGCAAAGCAGGGAGAGAACTAAGTCTTGAACAAGTTAAATATGCTCAACAGTGTGCAGTAGGGAGTAAGGGAACTTCAGAGCTAAGTGGCAATGAGAGAGTAACAAAGAAAGCCCCTTGCAGCTTACAAGTGATGTGGGCAGGAAGTTCAGAAGACTCAGAAGAGATGTGTGGATTCAGGGAGAGACTCAATGCCACAGCAGCACACAATGAGGCTGCAATTGCACTGCAAAGTGAGTTTTTGTGCTGCACTTCTGTAGTCCAGGGATTTTTCAAGATGCTTGGCCAAATGGCAGAGTGGCAGTCATGGGTCCAGACATGTCCCTAACCATCAGCAGTCAGCCTGCATGTAGCTCTTAAAGACTATTACTAGTTATCATGGGGAGACCCAAGACATCATCATATTAAATGCAAATTTGACAGAAAAAAATGTTTCCTAAACAGATGTAGATGGAAGATTTCTGAATGGATGTTCTCTTTGCTGAGAAAACACAGGTAAAGGAAAAGAAAACAAAAAAAATCTGAAAATGAAGTGTGGTTTCAGCAGTCCTTCTCAGCATGTGGAACCTGTCCTACAAGTCCTGGAAATTAGATACGTGACTGTTTTTTCACAATATGATTCTGAGGAAGCTGATCCAGGAAGGAGGGCCAATCTTACACCTCCTTTCCTTTCTCTCTGCAGAATTGTGACTCCAGTCAGCAGCACACATGGCTACATTTACCCTCAGGCTATAAGACCAGATGGCATTATCCTCCCAGCCCATGGCCCTGCCACGGGGAGAACCTCTGCATGGATACTAATTAGCATTAGCAAACCCACAGCCAGCTGAGGAAATTAGGGTGCCTGAACACAGCTCCCCAGCACAGGGCCTACAAGCCTCAAGGCCTGCCAGCCAGGTCTGTGTAAACACTCATTAACTCAGACATCACCATTCAGCTATAAAGCTCTGTCTCTGGTTTTGCATACAGAAACCAAGCAACTAACACTGGCAGGTGAGAGAGCTGTCATCACAAGATTTCAGAGCCCCTTTTTAAGGAAGCAAAGAACCCAATATGCGAGGAGGGGGATACTTTGGCACAGCACAGGGATGTGACCTGCCTGGCATTACCCAGGAGGCTCAGAACAACCCTCTCCTTAACTGTGCACAATGGTTTATGCCTGTAAGCAGAAGAGCCTAAAGGGCTGTTGGGAGCAGAGCAGGGCATTCCCTCTTTCATGCTAAAAAGCATCCTTCACCCCAAGCCCTCTCTGTGGTGAAAGGACATTGTGGTACCTATAGCATCACCTTTCAGATGGGCTACAGCCAACAGAGAGATCGAGAATTTGCACACAAAATCCTTGGCATCTTTATTTTTGTGGCTGGAATGAAACCCCAGTTCCAGTGCTTCATTATGTTGAACAAAATTTCTACATCTTTTATTTTAATTCTTTGAATAATTTTTCCAGTTTACTGTCTTTAACACATAAGTATGCTATAATAGGTGCTAAATAGTTTTGCTGTTGTTGTTATTATTACTCATTTGTAGCTGATGAGTCTGAAGAAAAGAGCAATACAAATGCTAAAGAGATGCATCTCAGAATTGATTTTTGAGAGCAAATATAATTTCTGTTTTCTGGCCTATATGATGACACTTATCTACACAGGCTTGTGAGCCAGTCATCATGTAGTCATCATGTTCTGTGCACTGTGAGGATGCATCTTACAGCTCTGTGCAGAAGGGACTGGAGCTTCCCAATGGGGTCATTTTTGGTTTGTTTAGTTTTAATGGGAACTACAGGAAGAAGAAGAAGAGAAAAAGATCACTTAGGCTGGGAAGTAAAGAAAGCATTCAGATGTTGAGAATAGAAACTTCCATTCTGTCTCAACAGATTTCAAGCAGACTTCTTCCAAAAGGTCAGAAGTATTCCAAGATAAGCTACGCTACTTCTCACTCAGCTCCAAATTTTCACAATTACTGTACTTACCAGAATAGATGGGGCTACCTATTGCAAGGCAGCCACACATATTCCTCATGTTGCTGATGGAGGCTTATTGAATAGCTGGGACTTTTGCTTAGTGTCATACCAGCAGCTATTTTTATAAGAATTTCACCTCCCATTTTCTGTATCCCTGTGCTAGAGACCATCCAGGACATTCTGCTCCTGGGCTTGCTGTCCAGCTCCTCTGGGTGCACATTTGTAATGCATTAGAGAGGGTTGATAAACACAGGCATATGTGAAGAGCAACAGCAACAAAAAATCCTGCTTGCCTATGAAGGGCTTATTTAAACTGATGTAAATCTCGAGAAAATTCTGCTCCTGGGAGCAGAAGTGTCAGAACCAGCCATTCAGGCTTTTGCTTTACAATGTAGACAGGTAATGGGGCAATGAATGAGTGCTCTAAATTCACCAAGAAAGCTCTTGCAGGAAAACTTAACCCTAAACTCCACTCCTATAAAGATGCCCACTAAAAGCATATTGAAAACAAAATTAAAAATACATAACTAGTTTTTCTGTAAGACTTCTTTACTTGTGTTAGGAAGGCTGGACAAGGAAGGGGCAATGAGGGATTCACTGATGTGTAGCAGTAGAATCAAGGAAGAATGGCTTTGAGCTTATAGCTTAGAGACAAGACAGACATTTTACCTTTCAAAGTACCTAGTAAGCAGTGACTTTATTTCACTGCTGCAGGTAAAGGACTTTGTTCATCTTTTCCTAGTAATCCCACAGCTTTCTCCTGAGTTTCCTTCATAATTGTTAAAGTTCCTATTTTCTGTTTTAGTAAACAGAATACTTGATATTTGATTCCAAATTAGTAGTGTGACTAACATTGATTTGCTCAGTGTACTGCTTGGAACTTCATTCTCTGTTTCTACCAATTAAATTCCTTCCTGTTTGTTTTAATTTACTAACATTTGCAGAAAGGACTCTACATATAATTAATAAGGATGGAACCAATAGAGAATTGGTGTTCCTAAGAGCCTAAGTAGGTCCCTTGTAAATCAGTTGCTGGTTCTCAGATTCACTTGTTTTTTTCTTACAAAGTCATACAGTACTTTTTCCACACATCTCACTTGGGATCCGTGATGGGCTTGTTTGGGGATGAATGAACACTTGTGGCAAAAGAGGAATAGGACCCTTGCCCCATATGATGAAGAAAGGCAAGAGATGTGTAATTAATTAGCATGAGGATTCCAGAGGGAGAAACTAAAGTTTCACTGATACCCTACCATATCATGACATATTATATTCTCTCCTTGAGTTTTCCGTAAAGCAAATATGGAAAGCACCGAAAGAGTTTTTATGAAAGATCACTTCCATTTTTGCTTTTCCCATCATTTTCTGACACTGGGTTAATCTGGAAATCAGATTTACACAGATGTTGAATATTCACATCTTAATTGAAACACACTTTAACCAGCTCATCTGGGAGTTGAGGAGGAAGGCAACTTCCCCCCAAAATAATCACATCTTTGGGAATCAAAAATCAGATACCCCAAAATCAGCAGATAGATGGAATAAAATTTGTGTTTCTCTATGCTTCAGTTGTCTCTAAATAGAAATAACAGCTCTGTTGTAATAATTTCTCAAAATTCACAGTGTTTTGAGAACATGGAATAAGCACTGAAGATGTCCATAAGAAAATTAATTATTTTTTTAATCAGTTTGGATGGTGCAGATTAAATAAAGAAAAAGAATTCCCACTCTCTGAATACTACAAAGTTTCGTTTCCAGAACACTGATAAACCATTTTTATGCCTTTTCAGATCATACACTGTTATTTATGTTTGTAATAAAAATGATGCACATTTGCATGCTAACCAGGTCTGTCCTTTCAATTCCTGCTCAGCGCCTGTTCAGTGAACCAAATTACAAGCACTCCTATTTTCCCACACAGTTTGGACCAAACACTGATAAACCTTCCACATCTCTATCTCTGATCCCATCCCTTTCAACAGCAAAGGGCTTCCAAAAATATTAAGGGCAAAGAGAGAATATTTGGCTATGGGCTCTGACCTGGAAGGGTGTGCTGACCCCAGGTCCCTTGCTGTGAACATTACTCCAGATCTGAAGCAGTAAAAAATGAATAAATAAACCCCATTTGTTCCCACCTCAGCCAGAGCAGAAGAAAAGTGATTACAGTTCTTGTGCATCAAGTGGTATGCATTTCCTTTATATTCCTTGCCCAGCTCTTCCATAATCTTATCCACGTCCTCTTCTGTGAAGTCCGTAGTGCCCAAGGCAATGGATTCTCTAGTTAAAATAAAAACATACAACAGGAAGAACAGAAAGATACAGTGAAAAGTGCAATACATACCAAGGGAGAAGGAAATTATCAGCTATTGGCAAGAAGGACAGGCTTAAAATGTTATGGACATGCATATCTGAGGCTATCAGAGACTCTGACTAACAGAAGGGCACAGTAATATTCACAGCTTTTCCACAAAGCAAGTTATCACACAGACAACAGTCCTGAGATCTTCTTGGTCACCACCAGGGAAGTCTCAGCTCTGGGGGTCTGCTCCTACTCTGCCCATCATCCCAGAAGATAAATTTCTATTACAAGAGAGAAGATGTTTTTTCCACAATTGAGAGGGTCCCCTGGGCCAGGAAGGAGCAGACTGAAAACTTTATGCAGAAACCTATTGCTTCTCCCAATATTCACTCAGTAGCACTTGCTCTAAAATGGCCCTCAACATAAACTGGTGGTCTGGCAAGGTCAAGCCCCCCTGCCATGGACATTTCCTTGACTCACAGTCCCACAGTCTGAGCATTTTGAACAAAACAAGAATGCAGCATCCTCTCAGACTCCTCTAACAGCCAGTCTGTCCCTTGTAACAGAGCAGCAAAAAACACACATGATGACTTCAGGTATTCTGTGCAGTATCCATAGATAGGGGGTACTCATAAAAGGAGAAGTCTTACTTTTCCCCCTGTACATTTGCTTTGTGTAACAGGCAAAACTGGGAGAACAGAAGATGAATAGGAAAAGAGAACTGCACTCGTTCGTGTGCTTTTAACCCCTGACAAACACAGTGCATCACTGTTCCCTGTTTGCTGTACGCGCTCTTTTATCCACCTCCAAAATCCCTGCAGGGTTGCCTTTGAATCAGGATCATGGAAAGGATGGCAGTGAGGGCACTTATGAGGAGAGTGAAAGGAGGACCCAGAGGACAGGACTTCCCTGCTCCCCCTACACCAACGGCTACCAGGGGCAGAAGGGAAGATGTAGAAAAGGGCCCTTACTTGAATTTAAAGGTCTCGCCAAGTTCTACCGCACTGCCAGGTGTGATCTCGAAAATCCCACTGAAAGGGTAGGGATGCCCTCCATAGGCAAACTCTGACAAGAAAAGAAACAGACTGTGAGTAATCGAATGAACGCCATGTCAGGAAAAAGTCTATGGCAGCTGTCTGCAGGGCTCAACATCAGCACCAGGGGCTGGGCTCTTGCCAAAATCAGTTTCAGCCAGACTCTGAAAGCCGTTTTTGCTGCCTGGTTACCTTTTGGACTGAGGATGCCCTCACAGCCTCCCTCCATGCTAGCACTACTCCTTTCCCACACCAGGAAAACTCCGAGTCTGTCTCTGTCCTCATCCAGGTGGCTTTCTCTCAGTGGAAAGTTCTGCATTGAGGGCACATCTGGCTAAACTGTGAGAGACTTCCAGTAGTGCTACAGAGCTGGAAGAAGCCATTTCTAGAGCAGGGAGAAATCAAATCTTCCAGAGGGATTTACAGGCAGTGAGTGGGATTGTACTCTGCTGCCTCAGCACAAAGGTCAGGCCAGGGAGTCCCTCCATGTCATACAGGGCCAGTGAAACACAGCCTGTGATCCTCATGGTGTCACACAGGCCATCTCACAGGGCCTGTGAGAGCCTCTGTGCTCAAGATGGAAATAGCACCAACAGGGGTTCTGGCTACTGCATGGCACTGCATGAAAATACCATTAGTGAGTAGTCAAGTCATTCCCATTTAAAGCTGAAAAAGGAAACAAAGTCTGTGATGCTAGTTCATCCTTCCCCACACTACAGATGTGTTCCAGATGCCTTGACTTTTTAAATGGGTGGCTCTAATCAGCTTGTACCCCATCCAGACAATTTCAAAAAATTTTCCTTTCTTTGTAACTCTACTGTTTAGAATTAACAGTTTCCAGTATCTGGAAACCCAGATTCCAAGATTTCTAGACCATATTCTAGACCACATTCATAAAGAATAAATGGAGAAAAGATTTTTCCTGACGGGGAATTAGCACAAACACATCTACAGGCCTTAAGACAACCCCTGATCCACCTCTCTTCCCCCTCCCCGATTTCTCCCATTCTCTATCTCCCTCCTTCACTACAGAATGGCTCCTCCCATCTGCCATCCTGCTACACACCTGCACAAGCTATACAGGCTGCAGTTACAGGCTGAATAAGAAGGACTACATGTGTCATAACAGAACTGCACGAGTTCCTCCTAGACTCCACAATGGACTCTGAAAAGAGAATTGGCTGAGTTTTTCAGTTTTTATCCCTCAAAACATTCCTTGCCAAAAGCTGTAAGTTTGGGATGCTTTTCCATATCAGACTGGCCATACAGTTGTCCCCATGTTCTGCAGGCAGTAAAAAGGAAATACTTCATACCTCTGCCGTAGATCTCAATGCCAGAGTGGAAGACACCAATCCCCAAGGTGGAGGTGTATTCATTTATCCAGTACTACAGTAAGAGAAAAGTCACATTGGGAAGCATTAGTGGAAAAGAAACACATTATTTTAGTCTAGGGTATATCCCACCTCTCCCCACCTCCTCTTAAGGAGAAGAGAGATTTTGAAATTATCTTGAGGCAAACAAATTGAGGCTCTTACAGACCAACAGAAGTGGGCACTGTGTTTATTCGGCTGGACTGGATTAGCTCTCAAAAAATATGCTCATCTAACCTTTTCCACCTAAGATACTAACCTGTATTAAGATACAACTGGACCTGAACCTGCATAAACCCAGCTGCTACAGGATGTGTGATTATTTATCTATCTTCTCACCTAATATCTGACACTGAGTCACTTTTATCAATTCACTTCCCTTATTTAACCTTCAAAACCTTCAGTAAGAGAATCCCCAGTTATTTTCCACACACCCTATAACATCACCTCCCAGAACCCTTACTTATTATTTTGGTTTTAGGCAAAGACATCGTAGAGTTGGAGGTTTGTTGCCCTAGTAGGTCAGAGAAATTTTCAAGAGGAGCTGCTAAGTGACTCTTTTGTCTGGAGCCCAGAGGTCCCCGTTACATTTAGAGCAGAGAAGCACTGCAGTCCAGTGCATGCGTGTGCTGCTCCTCTGCCAAGCGCTGCGCAGGGCCTGTTTCCACCACACCGTGAAGGACAGTGCAGACACCCAAACAAGTCCCAGCTAAGCTAATTCCAGAGCAAGAAGCTGTACAGCCATGCCAGGGCAATGCTGCATTGGAGATAATTAGCCCTGTTCAGCATCAGTGTTTATTAGGTCAGCTGCAGAGCTGCACTGCTACAGAAATGATGTTTTCAGGCACAGAGGAAACTGCCCATGCCTGTTATATTTGCAGTTCACTTACAGTTGCTGTGCAATGAAGATACATGTTCTAGTAACTAAATTCTGGTTTTAATCTACCACTGTGAGGAAAATGAGTGCTGCTCACTTGTTCCTGTACAAGGACATGACAGGTTCATTAAACTCTCTTCTGGATCTGGTAGCAGCTTCTTGTGGAACCAGAATAAGCTGAATCTTCCCTGTGTCTGGTGTCACTGAGCTACCCCTTCCATTCTCTTTAGCAGACCTTAACCTAGGCTTGCTCTTCCTATTAGCCATATCGAGCTTAGCAGTATACTCCATCCTGTGGTCAGGCTGAGCTTCTAATTCAGAATACTCCCTGATTGGGGCACTGAAGAGGAGTCTGATTTCCATCTAGCTTCAATTGATACAATACTGATATGACCTACTAGCAAGACCAAAGTGCAAGGCAGCAGCTCTGAATCACGGCTGTACTGTCCTCATCTCACCCCTGTCTCCAGGGTGCTGTAGAATCTGCCTCCAGTGTGTGACTGAACTCACAGTGAATGCCTCAGAGCACTTTGGCACAGCCTCCGGCTTGTCTTGGGAGGAAGCTATGCTAAAGTGAACGTGTCAGTCACTTGCTGAGCTGGAAAAGAGAATCCAAGCCAGATTTGAAATCAGGTTTGTACACACATGCACAAGCTGGCCTTGTTTTCCAAGGGGTTTACAATTCTGAGCATAAGAACAGCAGCAACAGTCAGCAAATGCTCATTTCTGGAGTAAATTGGTTATTGCTTAGATTAAAAAGAAGAATCGGCAGCCTGTTCAGTCAGATGAAGAGCCAGAGAACCGAATACAGCAGTATCTTAAAGGGAGTTGTGATTCATGCTTGCATTGCATACTGCCTGGAAAATTGTGCCCTAAACCATACACAGGAGGGACTTAGAGCATTCTGTCTCATTTCCATCTTCAACAGAGAACAGCTCAGATGATAAACAAGGCAGGGAGGAAGGCTAACCAGGCTATAATCACCTCATAATAGCAGCAGATAGCCCAAAACTCAAAATTCAAACCCAGAGAGGAACCTCTGTGTTTAGTTTGTAGTGTATCAATTAATAGCTTTTAATGAAGATCTCTGATTAAGTAGAATTTCAAAATTTTCAGATTTTATTCAGGTCTTCCCTGATCTTCTGTTGGTTTGGTTCAGAGGTCAGTAATAACCAGTGAGATAAGTTTAGATTCTGGGGGATATTCTGAGTCACTTCTTGCATTATTCCCTTCATTTATCCATCTCACAGAGGTAGAAGTAAAAGTCCAGAACAGTGAACCATGCCCTAACTTTCCAGAAAAGAAAGAAACTAAAAAGCTTCATTATATTGACATGCATCTTTCAGGTCTAGAATGGAGAATCAGATGATGTGATACTGGCAGATTGTATCATCCTGGGGGTTTTCAGAGTAGGAGCTCCTAGGAACTCATGCCAGACACATGAGTGTCCAGACAGAAGTGGCCCGTCCATGTAACACCAACCTTCCACCATCAACTAATACTGTACTATAACATTGAAGTTTCTGTCACTAACTCTGTCTTCCCTGCTTCAAACATACTTCATTACTTTCCATGGTGTGTCACCAAAATCTTTCCTGCATCAATGTGCTCAGCAGTTTAACTAAACAGCTCCCCAGATGCTGGAGACAAGACCTCTTCCATGAGTATCGCAGATATTCTGAGCTCTTGATGCTTTCTCTGAGCAGCCAACCCACTAAGCAGTATTCCATTTATCACCACAATACTGACTGGATATTCCACTCCACCAGATCCATCCACTACTGAACAGCTGCTAAGCCTTCCTTTGTTATGATCTGTATCATACCTAACATATAGGAAAGAAATCCACCAGTTGTTAATTAGATCTGATTTCAATAAATAGCTGCAAACTCAGAGAATCCAGTGTCATAGGTCCTTGCAGAGACCTCTACTCTTCACCAGGTGTCACACACAAGCAATGTCTGAGCCAGCATACCAGGCTAGAGAGAGCTTGGCTGTGACCTCATCTGGTGCTCTGATGTCCAGGTACGACCACACACTACTGTGAATGAGACACCTTTACCAAGGATGGGTGCAGATGATGAAACAGTAACTAACTTCTTCCTATCTCTTCTCAAAGCACCATTTGCATGTAATTCAGAAGGATTACTTCCTTTTCCCTGTGAGTTCACTGGCAGAGCTTTGCTTCTAGGAGAAAGGAAAAAAACAGTAAATAATTATATTTAGACATTGCTAGGGAGCAAGGAGCATGTTAAGGGACTCGTGTCAACACAGGTCCCAAAAGAGACTGTCAGCCCTACCACCTGAGCTTGATTTTAATCCTTTCCTTTTTGAGGGCCAAGTCTCACACTGTACTTGGCCCTTTACAAGGATGTCTCCTCTTTATAGGTTGGGGAATCTGGCTTGCTGAAGAGACCCTTGGCTCAACAAATCCAAGTGGAGAACACCCAGGGCAGTGCTTGCCCCTGCAGTCAAGTTACCTAAGCAGCCTCACAAAGACATGCAAAGGGACTGTGTGTACTAACAAATACACTGCTCAGCTGTATCTCAAACACCAAGAGAATGCTCTGCAATGTTAAATCTCAGCACAAAAGGCAGTCTTTTAAAGGCAACATCAGATTGATGCAGGAGACCAGCTAGGGAACATCAAAGTAATACCTCAGCATTATGTCCTGAGATGCATTGATCCAGAAATTTGAGAGCACAAAAGATAAAACTGGAGGGGAAAGCTAGAGAACAGCATTTCAGGAAATGAGCCAGAAAATCCCAGCTGTTTATAGCATACAGTCAGCAGCTTCAGAAGAGTTGTTTCCTCAATACATCACTCTAAATCAAGATCCAGAATCTTGGTTCCCACAGGGGTGGATGGAAAGGGTCCATAAAACATCACAGATTATTCCCCAAGTAATGCTGGCAGGGATGAAGGAGGCTTTACTTCAACTACAGACATGCAGAACAGGGGGTTTCCTGCAGATCCAGGGCTCTTCGCTCATATTGCAGCAGTGCTCACTTCTGTTCCACGGCCCCAGGCAGGCACACAGTCCTGCAACATGTCCTAGTCCTTCTGTTCACCCCTTCTGCCCTGGAGCTCTAGTGGTAAAAACTCACTATCATGTGGGATGACGTCAAATTTTACAGCATAGCTACTATTAGCAAGTTTTTTTTTGCAATTGGGTGAGACTCAAGCTCATTTCAGTGTGACCTGTGTCTCTTACACTCCATTCTCCAGGAATCCAAGGCTTGTGTATTCATCAAGTCTAAAATGCTATTTTCCTAATACTACAGTGACTACACATTAAGTAGGAAAGGGTTTAAATACATGTGGGCAAAACAGGAACTAAATAAAGCTTAACAGAGTATTGAGGAGTGATGACACAGACCTGTCTTTGCTACTTCACACCTGGGAAAAGCTACCTGGGTGGGTCCTCCCTCCAGCACACACAGAACATGGCTCTTCCAGCTGGAGGATCATCTCCTATATCAGGTCCTCTTCACTGTTGGCAAAAGTTATCAATCTGCAAGTCAAGGACATGGGTGTGAAAACCCATCAGGTCATTCCAAATCCAATCAGCCAAAAGCACCTGCTTTAGTCAGGTATGTTAACTTTCAGCTACAGTTCCAGACAGTGTTAAAGAAACAAAATGCTGCAGTGAGGAGATCTGTGTTTACAAACAGGTGCAGCCTCCAGTTGCAGTAGGCAGTAACTTTCAAATATCAAGAAAAACAATTCTCAGGGTGTAGTCACTGGCCTGCTTGCAAATAACCCAACTGCCAGAACTGATTAAAGCTCAGGAACTACAGTTTTTCTTCCAGGAGAGCATTCTCAAATACTGAGAACTCTGCAGGTTCAGTGCAGCAAGACAGCTTGATGTAGCTCTGATGAGGCAGGGATACACAAGGACCCCACTCAAGAACCCCACTTCATACTTGGATTGGCTGAAGAGCAGACATCTGAGGAGCAGAGTCAGAGAGAAGAAAAAGACAAGGCATCCTTTGGCATGCAACTGCCTCTGCTCTGCTGCATTTTGAATGAAAGAAGCTTCTGCTGAAGACACTTCTCTACTCTTCAGGTTAATACACTCTAATAGAACAAGGATTTCCTGGGAAACAACAGCCTGATGCTTAAAACTGATACTGCT